GACGTCGGGGTTACTAGCTTTTGATTGGCTGTCTGGACGCCGGCAGTATCCGCAGGGGAAAATAAGGGTTTGGGTTGCAGCTGGAGGGTCACGCTGAGACCCTAATCTATACGGATGAGTGACTCTCGCCATAGTGTACGCGACATGTACAATCTAGATCTATGCCAAGACCTATGTCAAGCAAGTCAAGCAAGTCTCAATCTACGGCTTGACTTGATTACTCATAAAAACCTGGCCGACTTGACTTGGTGACTAACCGCATTTGGATCAAGTCAAGCAAGTCAAGCAAGCCGGACTTGCTTGTGGCCACCTCTGCTCACAAGAAGCTACGAGGCACCGAGCTCGAAGTTCCTACGCCTTGTTCCAGCCGCATTAATTATGCGCCAACTCCAATCTCGTCCGACCGCGAGATCACTTATATCTCCGCTGAGAGGAAAACAGGCACAGATTGTGAGAGGGAGTATCGAATCCTTTTACGCTACTGGGTCGTCGAGTCGAAGATTCCGGATATTGAACGGATTCGTCAATACCAAACGAGGGTCTATGGAAGGCCATGGGATGTGCTGTCTTGATATTGTGTAACAGACGAATAATTTGTATTCAACCTGCTTGTGTCTCGCCGTACATCATCTTTGCAAAAATTGGTCTGAATGTCTTGTCTTATGATGATATAGCTCATATAGTTCGGGAAGTGTTTGCGAAATGTAGGTGTCGTAGTCGAGCAGGATAAAGTAGCGAGAAGGAGTGACCTGGCAGTGCAGCGACACGACGGTGGCCGTTTCGTCATGGGATATCATCTTGCCATAGCTCTTGCAATAACCGTAGCCTGGCAGATAAAAAATCACATGACTGCGAGATTCTTATCATCCCCTTCAAGCAATATATAAAGCGTGAGCTATCTCCGGACATTGCAAGTCCAACTATCTTCCCTTTCCTCCACATTTCCCCCACGTGCGGATCAGCTTCAGCGATCAACAGCATCACTTCTTCATTATGGGTCGATCCAAACCCGCTCAAAGAGAGTGGGCAGCAGCGAGCATACTCGAAGGCCGCGTCACCGAATGTTCTGGACTCGAATTCAAAATACAATGGGAGCCTTCGCGGCGCGATGCTCTGTGTCCCACGGAGCTCGAGCAGTACTCAACGCAAGTGCGGTATCACAGCGATCCCGACTTCATCCACTGGGAGCCAACATGGGAGCCACTTGAGAATCTTGGGCCTTGTCTTGAGATGGTCAACCAATTCCTTGCAAGAGGGTGATATTTTTCTTCCAGACAAGCACTGAACTATATCTGACTACCCTTCAGACGGTGGATTGGGACACTCGGCGATGGAGGCAGGAAAAGGGCTGTTGCTTTTATCTATCATCGAGAGAAATGAGTGCTGAAACCCGACCCCATCGTGATGCCTTTCTCTTGCTCGTGGACGCAGGCTGTCTATGCTATCAATGTACTGCATGAATGTTGGTATTTCTGTTTCACTACAAGTTTCCCCTTACCAAGCTAAATGGTGAAATGATAATTCGTGATTTATTTTCTTGACCTGGTTCTTACACTAAATTGTGTCGCAATATGAAACTTTGTCCGAATGTCCGCAAATAATACAACTATTATGGGACACCCGAAATGCGAGTACGAAGACCAACCTGAGACATTGCCACGTGATTGCTCATGTGAAAGCCCCAGCCTGTGCGGATGTTGAAAAAGTATCCCGTATTCTAATCATATAGTCTGCCGTAGCAGCATCGATACGATGTCGCATGGGAGCATGTAATATTTTCGCCTGAGGCAGCAATAGCTCAGTCCCGAAGATGTCGCGCACGTACTTTACAGGCCAACTTGGCCTGACGGGCCTTCAGTTGCTAGAAACAGCAACTGCTGCGTCCCTTTTCAGCATCTAGGGTCTCTTGCACAATTTGCACAATTTCCAGAGCTTGCGTCCTCGCTCCGCGGCAGTGTCCGCTGACTTCTCTCTTCTAGCGAGTAACGCACGGCTTCAAACTTTCGAAAAAGCGGACGTAGGCTTGCCCGTCTGCTTGCTGCGCCGCATAGCATTAGTAGTAGCCTAGACCTTGCAGTCCACATAAGACATGTTGTATATCGCTCCATCCACCTCCATCAATGTGTTCCGCTTGCATATCTCTACAGTCCTACAATGACTATGTCGCTCTTTCGATTGCCAAAAGAAGTTCGTCTAGCGATTTATACTTATGCATGTGCGCCCAGCATAGGCACACCGCACTGTTGCGGGGAGGTGAACGTGCAAGACAATGGAACCTTTCCCTTGAGCGCTTACTCTGACTTTTGTACAGTGCGTACGCGCACGGACTTGACGGACATCGTCGACGTCGATCTCAACCATCGACCAACAGAACCTCGCACTTCGTTGTCGCACGGTACTGGCACACTGAGTCTCCTACTCTCATGCTCGGCTGTCTATACCGAGCTTGCCCGTCACATATACTCTAATTGGCAAATTGTCATTCGTGCTAAAGATGACGCTAGTCTTGCTGCACTCAGCAGGTTACGAGTGAGCTCAATTCATGCTTTAAGGCGGCTCACCATTGACCTGAATGCGACTTCTTGTGGAGATGGCTGGGGATGCCAAGACGAAGAAGATCCCGACTATGCCATTCGCAACGAATCGGAGCCTCTCGAAACTGTCTCAGTTCGAGAAGACACCCGACGAAGCTACAGCGAGCGTACTAATGGCCATCTCAGCCCCTTAGCGATCTTCGATTACTCTCGGTCACGGCCGCTCACAGTTACAAACCGACTTCACAAAGTGAGTGCGGAATACTCATAATCATTTAAGCGTTTCTGATTATTTTTCAAGGCTGTCCTCGAGAATTGGAACCAAATTTGGGCCGATATTCGGCCACAACTCCAGCTTGGGACACTAGAGCTGGACTTCATGTGTGACGTTAACGACGTCGAGACCGCAGAGTTCGCGTTAAAACCTTTTCTGACAGAAAGCCGGCCTTACATGGCCAAATGCAACATTAGGCTCGCTCGTCGCAGGGTTGAAGTGCTCAGACAGCTAGCTCAATTAGCAGTCCAGCGGACTGTGTACTCTACCGAGTCACATCTGAAGTCGCCGGAAAGCAGAAGATCTAATGACTCAATCACATTCATGGATCTTCCGGCGGAAGTCCGTCAACATATTCTCGCATACACAGATCTCGTCGCCCCTGGGAAAGAAGTAGAGTGGAATCCGTATCACGGCTGGTACCGCAGACATGGCGGAGCAGGAGGAACGTGGACAGAAAGCAAACACGATCCCCTCCTGCATCTCCACCCGATCGCTAAGGACAAGAGTGGTCTTCTTGACGATGCTCGCAGATATCACAAAACTCCATACCGACGCAGATATTGTCAAGAGAAGCTTGGCGGGCGGGGCTGTTTCTGCAAAAGTCGCCACACAGTATACTCAAGTTACAGCAAGCTCAATTGTTGGGCCCCACCAACACTATTGTTTCTAGTGAACTCAACTTTTCGACAGGATGCATTGCAGATCTTCTTCGGACAAAACCGCATCGTAGTCTGGCCGACCAAAAAGCTGTTGTCTCCGGATCCTGTGCTGCAAGCCCCTAGTCGATTGCACATTTCGAATTTCCTCAACGACGTGGTCCCGAAGGATGCTCTTCGCTACTTACGCCACCTTGAAATCGCCTTCGAGGAATTCGCTAGTGTTGGGCATCTGACATGGTGTTCGACTGGCAGCCCGGAGCTAGTGGATTGGGAGCGCACGGTTGAGGAGATCACGCCACATCTCGTCTCGTCCAATCTTGCAATCAAAGTGGTCTTTCTCCCTAACGCGTGGGTGACCGATTATTGTATCGAGGACGAAATGCCGGACTGGAGAGTCGTCTTATCCAGAGAGGAATTTGAGCATCGGAAGACATGCTACTTCAACACCATATTACCCTTGCAGCATTTGAGCGGCCGCATGAAGCATTTATCGATACAGATCTACGATAATGTGAGGGATCCTGGAGGGAGTATAGAATACAGTGTCGAGTGGCCTCGCGAACTCGTGAGTACGATAATGGGGCCTGAGTATGAGCATCTCACGGAGCACGACTACGGCTCGAGTGGGAAACCCGTACCGTTATTCTTACGGACTGGGTACTGGTTCGAAGATAGCCAATATTATGCGTGAAGCGGACGAAGTCACTGACATAGTCACGCTTAGCAGTGCATGGCCTCCCGCAGTCAGATGAAGAGGGAAACCTTATATAGCAAATGAGCTACTTCAACTTTGACGTCGCGATACTGTCTGGACATCGGCCTGATCGATGGTGATCGCCGCATGTTAGTGTGCAGAAATGAAGAGCGCAATGTGGGTTAATGCCGGTCCATAGGTGCTACGTGACCCCAATACATGCCGCTCAGGGCTCCTTGAGTAGTTCAGATCACTCGTGTCATGCCAGGGCATTGTTTCTAATTGATAGCTAAACGTAGATATGATGTGTCTTTTGTAGCTTGGTTATACGAACCGCAGGAAGCTGTTGCCCACGGCCTATTGTTCAGCTTTGCAGGCCGCAGTGCCATGATTACCCGCAGATGCTGCTGGTATATCCCACATGTCTAGCCGCCGCCCAGCGGTTGATCATGTGACTGAATGGTTTGCGACATTGATGATTCGCTCGCTCGGTGGCGAACCCACGCCGCAATTGTCATACCGAGCAGGCTCGATTGGTGCCAAGCCGATCTATGATGGCGCTTTGCGAGGGATCCGGTCGCCACAGGCATTTCTCTATTGGCAGCTTCACCGAACTTTCATCCGCCAATGAGCAAGACTGGACGTGGCCGCTGATAACATCACCGTGCGAAAATGACCTGGGCGTTCGTTGTCGCAGACTCACGTCATTCGGAAATTCGTGTGACGTTGAGTGTCAGGAAGGAAGCTAACCGCATTGGGAGTCTGGCAACCGAATCACGGCTGGGCCGGAAGACAAAGCGCGATGGGATTGTCAAGACCAATCATCTGCCGGAACTGAGCGTGACGGACTGTCCATCTGTCCTGGAGATCGCAGCATTAGTCCCACACTGTCGACTAAAGCATGACCTGGCGGGTAGCTTCCTGCAAGTTGGCTCAGCTGAAGCGCGTCTGACACACCGAAGCTGCGTCTGCTTCCCTCGCGTCACCCGCGGCCGACCCGACTGTCCTTCGTGTCCTCTCGCGTTTAATATTTCTCAAGATGGCGCTCTGCCGGCCGTCGTGCGACAGAGTGGTTGTTGAAGTCTGAGCAAGGCGACCACAGTGGGCCAAAGTTGCACGGATTGCCTCGCGCTGGCTGAATGTTTGCCCACGACTTACAGCCAGATGGCCCCTATAGCGGCACTGCGGCAGGCTTCTGACTGCACCAGCACCCCTTGAATCTCGTTCTTTGAGAGACGGGCTGCTTGACTCTAGGCAGGATAGCTACTCGGCTCGGTCGCTAGCCTGCTGTGTCGTCAGGGGCGATAACGAAACAGCTAGTCGCCGAGATAACGAAGCGACTGTGTTTGTACTGAGATCTTGTCGGTCGTCAGTATCAACAGGCGCCGGCAAGCATACACACGGCGACTAGTTGACAGCTGACTACAGTGCCCGAACGTTGTTGACGCAGATGCTGAAACACCCGAAGCGTGCCATGAGGATGGTGTGTGGTCCACTGAACATATGAGAAGCATGATCGATCCATGCCAAACAAGAATCATATCCAGCAATCTTCATATCACCTCAATTACAGCAACGATCACCAATCAGTACCGGACCATCATCGCTTTTTCAGCGCCCTCTTCTTTAGATGATCATGTGGAGCAAGTTTCTGCTCCTTACCCTTCTGGGGCTCTTTCAGACCGGGCTCAGTGTGCCGTGGAATGAAAATGCTGAACCCATGACTCTTAAATCGGATCCTAGAGATAACAATCCTGTGTGGACAGCGGAAGTCCGTTGGACTAAGGACTCACCCCCTACGCCAAAACAAGTCCAAGGTTTCGCAAGATCAGGCCATCAATGGGTTCGCAAACAGCCAAAGGCCAAGACTGGAAAGACCGGCACCATCCTGGTATTCTATCATCAAGCCGCTCAACATCATCAAACTTTAGGTACTAATCATTTGTCAGGTTGCTGCCGTGTATGACCCAGCTGGGTGGCTATATTCGTCTACGATTCCGCGAGGCGAATTCTGGAAGCTTATACATCCCGACACTCCTGATCCGGTTGGTGACGCCACAACTTGGCGGAATGCCCGAGACGCGGTCGTAGCAAGTCTTCACGGCGACCAGAAACGGCCGTGTGCCGAGGACGGTGTCCTGTACGCAATGGAGTCCTCGCTCAACAGCGGAGTCACAGACGCAAACCAATGTGAGGTTACATTTCAAATGTCGCGAGTACTGCTATACTGATTCCTTTTCTAGTTCCGAAGGGCACTCTCGTGCAGGTTTGGGGAGCATGGGGTTGGGACTCGGACGAGATAAAGAAGACGGGCGAAAAGAAGAACCCCTGTGCAGGAAAGTGCGCGAAACTTTTGGACAGGCTTGGAATCGATCACAGCCCTGTTTCGGAGACGGATGCGCCCGAATGCAAAGAGAACTTTGATGCGGGTGAAGGACCGAGCGGCCCCTCCAAGCGGCCCCCTTTATCGTCGCCAGGAGAATCGGCCGACCCCAAGCGCGTGGCCCGCCCCCAAGCAGGATCAAGCAGGCCGCAAGCAGGATCGAGCAATCCGCAAGCAGGTTTAAGTAACCCGCAAGCAGGTTCAAGCAACCAAAATCCGCCTGTGAAACCGCAAGCAGGGTCAAGCAACACGAAGCCGCCCGTCAGACCGCATACAGGATCAAGCAACACCAAGCCGCCCGCTCCAAGGGCTGCCCGATCCGAATCCGAGCAACCTGACCTCGAGGAAAATGACACAGCCGAGATCGAAGCCTTGATAGAAGGCTTGTCCATCCATCCAGACGCTGGCCAGAACGTGCATGCTCAGCCAACAACTGTCCAAACTGTTGGGTACGTCACGAACCCAGGAGGGGCAATGGATTTTAGTCCTACCCAACGCGTTTGAGCGACCGCATCTCCTGGCCAGTGAACTCGACAGGGAGAAGTATAGCAGGACCTGATGGAGCATCACGCACCCTCAATTGATCACGCTTTTATTTGGTTGGCGTTTACTGCGGACAGGGCCAGGAATCACACCGCACGGAAAACATTTGTCGTCTTCTGCCATTTTGCGCCAGGTCGCAGACTTGGACCTGGAAGGCCGAACCTCACGCACAGAGCCAACTTGGTACTGATCTGCCGTCTAACCCCTAATCTCGATAAATTCTAGACTAGAGTTGATAGAATCGATAGAATCGATAGAAATGATAGAACCGATAAATGATTACGAACCATACATTCACTATTTCGTCATTCAAAAAAGCATACCTTCTCTTCATTCCGCTTGATGAGCAAGATGTCTGATGTCAAAGAGCTAATCGGCTCCATCTTGAGGCGTTGCTTTGATCCGACAAATCCCTCGAGCAAATCGTAATTCCGATCTGGCTACAGGATGGGGGTTTCCTTTCGACGCCGAAATGGAAGGTTCTGCTCCGCTCCGCATCTACGGGGTCCCTCTGGGATGATGTCAAGGCGGGGAAGTAGGAGGACGACGAGATAGGGAAAGGAGCCAGGGAAGGACAGGGAGAGATGAAGAGAGGGGAGGAGAAGGAGAAGAAGAAGAGCGCAAGAGGAAAGCACGAAGATCCTCTACGATGGCCGCGCACCATGAGGCGACCACGATGCTTCGCCAGAGACCTCTCGATTCAAAGCCGATGAAATCATACCATGCTTTTATTTCAATGTCTCGAAACAACGCATCGGCTACACGCCTACTTTTAACACGTCATTGGTGAAGTCGAACTGACGCGAGAAAGTATGGGAGAGACGCCCTCGCCTAGATAGAGCTACTATAGTACCGCTAGCGGAATGCCGCTGCTCGTATCTAATAAGATCGAAAGGACACGATTAGCGCCTCCGGACATCGATGCCCGCGAGAGAAAAAGGACGAGGCCGCGAAGCGGACGCGTCGTGAAGTTATGCAAATCTGCGCGTGCGGGCCGCAGACCTTGTGCAGCCTGCGCGCGATTCCGGACGCGGCGGCGTCGGTTTCCTGATGCGGAAGGCCCGTTAGGGAGAGTACAGTGTATCATACACCCAACCGCGTCAGATGACGAGTTCGAGTTATTTTGTCCATTCCCCCCGACAGAAGAGAGCAACAGCATCCGGGAACTCAGAACTGCGATGTCAAAAATGGCGGAATCAGCTAGAGGTAACGATGGGACTTGGTGTCTGGTTGAAGATTGTAAGAAGGACTGTGCAGCGATGTACAGAGGCACGTATTCCAATCAATGGAATGGTGTCAAGACTGATTGCTGCCTCTGCGGCTTCCGCCTGCAGAGTCACTGGATATACTGTGCAACCGCAGGTCACGTGCAATACGGTCCTACGGCAGTACGTCTGGGACTGGTCGCAGTCCTGGGACTGACGTCCTGGGACTCGGCCTGGGGTCGGAGGTGAACGCGCACTAGGACTGCTGCCCGAGGCACACATCCTATGCTCTGGGACTGCGATGAGACGTCCACCCTGCTCCGCCCTTACAAAGATACTCGATCCGTATACTACGAAAGCTAGATCCGAGAAACAATGACAACATCGACTCGCTGGCTGTTACGGGTCAACTGCCAAAGGGCGGTTTACTCGAGGGGGTTCTTGAGAATGAGTGGTGCAACAGGATATCTGAAAGGGGCTTTGATTCCAATGGTTAAGTTGGTAACATGAGTTCAACACGAACAGACATAAGGTCC